CATGGGCTTTGGTGGAGGTCGAGGGGCAGCACCAGCAGGTCTAAATCGGGGTGGAGAAGTTCGGTCCTTACGGGCTTCACGAGATCTATTTCTGACCACTTTGCTGTGAATGGCACAACTCACACAATAATGCAGCTTCACATACAGCTTGGGAAACACATAACCGTCGAAGACACTCGCTTCAGAAATGTCCCTGATGGCAGCGGCCTCCACTATATTCCGAATGACAAACTTCTTAATAGCCTTATCCTTGGGTACGCACCAGGCACAGTTCGTGCAGTGAATAGGCTGCACATGACCGTGGCCCTTTTGGGCACGACCATTGTTCCTTCTTTTTTTCATCATCTTGGAAAGGAGGACCCGAAAGAGGCTGTTGCCTTTCTTGACTGGTGACAAGAATGCAACCTGTAGCTGGAGAAGATGCAGGTGGGACCCAGGTCTGGGAACAGGGACAGTGCCTGACCTTAGGAAGACCTCAGGAAGACTCTCGGGTCTTTTGATTTGTTTTAAGCCCCAGAGTGTCTGCACAGGGTTGGTAGAGTTTCAGAAAGGGTTTTTCAGAGACTGACTTGGTTAATAATCTTTAGGGGGGGGAAAAACCCATCAATTAACCATATGTAAAAAATGATGTATTGAGGGCCAGCCAAATAGCTCAGCAGATTAAAACGCCTGCAAGCAGGGGCTGGGGTGCGGGGCCCGTCCCCAGGGCTTGTTGAGATGGCAGTTGAGACTGGGCATGGTGGCGTGCACCTGTAATCCCAGCTCTTGGGAGGCTGTAAACAGGTGGATCACTACGAGTCTAATCTAATAGTGAGACCCTGAACACCCTGTAGACCCTTTCCTAAAATACAAAAAAAATGGATGTGTTGTATATTAGAAGGTTATAAAGATAAGAAAAATGATTATGTACTATGCAAATTAAGTTTAGAAGACTAATCAATACTTTAAAGCTTAAATGTAATATTTTCAGTAGTGTGTTATGAAATTTATTGTAGATTTGAAAGTGAAAGAAAACCAAGGGTTTTCTTTGAATAGATGTCTCAGCAGAAAAAAAGTCATTTGAGGGCTAGTCAGATAGCTCCACAGATTAAAGTTCCTGCTTAGGCAGAGCTTAGGGGCCAGGGATCAGCCCATGTCCTGTCCCAAGGGCCCACTGAGATGGCCATTGAGACTGGATGTGTTGGTGCGTGCCTGTAATCCCAACACTTGGGAAGCTGAAAACAGGAGGATCACTACAATCCAATCTGCATAGTGAGACCCTGTAGACCCTGTACTAAATACATAAAAGAAAAAAGCCCTTTGAATTTATTATTTTGTTCCTTGAGTAATGGGAGGCAATATGAAACTATAGACTAAAAGTAGAGTATAACTTTAGAGAGATATTTTTGTTGTAAGTATTGTAAAGATCTGACTTTGATTTTCATTGAAGTTGCTGAATTTCTAAGATGAATGAGATAGGAATTAAAATACAGTTAAGATGCCATGAGCTGATATGTAGAAATTTCATTGAAGGAGTTTGACTAAAATTTAAGCTTGTATCATAGTAACATACTGAAGATTGTAACTTTTATTTATTTTTTTTGTAACTTTTAAATTATGGTTTTACAACGTGCAGTAGTTTAAAGTGAATCTCATACGCAGATCAGTCTTCCTGATGGTCCTGTGATATGTAGACAGTGGCGTTCTGACACAGATAACTCACGTGATGCCCAAGGGTACTAAGTTGTTTTCTCAAGGAACACAACTCTTAAGTTCAGACAGAATTTTAACATAGGCCTTCTTATTTATTTAATTTGGTACAGGGTCTCACTATGCAGTTTGAACTTGTAGTGATCCTCCTGTCTCAGCTTCTGCAGCAGCAGAATTACTGGTGTGTGCCACCACGCCTGGTTTTGGTGGCCAGCACAGCACCCCGGGTTCCAGGGTCAGCATGGCATGTGGTACCAGGGATTGAACCTAGGTCCTTGTGCTTGCCAGGCAGGTGCCTAGACCACTGAGCTGTCTTCCAGCCCTTTAACATAGGCCTTCTGATTGCAAATATTGTCTCTTTCTAAGTTGCTCAATAGACAATTTGTTGAAGCTATGTTTAAAATATCCTTGAAAATGTATCTAAGATGCTGCATGTGGTTTAATTTTTACCAAGGGGAGGGCAGAGCTTGGGAATAGTACTGTAGCTTATTTAGTCTGTTCACTAAGCATGATAGTGAAGAATTTGTGAAACTGTATGATGGCATGTGCCATGCCACAGGTTTTTTCATTATTGAAGTTTTGTAATGTAAAAAGTTTGTTTTCAGACTTGAGTGCAGTATTGAAGCAGTTTGTGGAAATGCAGGCTCTAGAACCTGCCCTGGCTGCACCCCTCCCACAGCTTTGGAAAACCAGCCCTGGTCCCTGGGGGGGGTGGGGGGCAAAGGCCAGCCTCCTGGACAGTGGCCCAGGAGGAAGTGGCTGACGGGTGGGGGGGGGGGGACAGAGGGCTGGGGCCCTGTCCATTAACAGTCAGTGACTTGTTGGGAATCCTCGGAAGGTGCCCTTGGAGGTGGTGGTGTTTAGTGTTACTCAGCAGGGATTGAGAGAGTGAGTCATGAGATGGGATGGTAACAACAAGACTGGACAGGAGAAATCTTGACTTAGGAGCAGCTGACTTCCTAGAGAAGATTACTTTATAAATAGATTTAGTGGTATCTGTCTGTGGATAGACTCAATCACAATGCAGACAGTTTCTTACATAGAAGCTTAAAAAAGAAAAAAGGGTGGAAACTTAGCTCTCTTTCCTATCTTGGAAGATGGCGGGTGAAAAAACTGAGAAGCCAGACACTAGCGAGAAGAAACCTGAAGCCAAGAAGGCTCTGCCAGTGGTACAGGTAAAAAGGGTAAGATGAAGGCAAAAGGTCCAAGAAGGGGCAGCCACACTGCAGCCGAAATCCTGACCTGGTTAGAGGAATTGGTAGATACTCCAGATCTGCTATGTGTTCCAGAAAGGCTTTGTACAGGAGAAAGTACACAGCTGCTAAATCAAAGGTTGAGAAGACAAAGGAGAAATTTTTTGCTATGATCACAAAACTAGTCAGTGGGGACAAGAATGGAGGTATCCGGGTGGTTAAGTTTCGAGAAATGCCTAGATACTGCCCTACTGAAGATGTGCCCCGAAAGCTCTTGAGCCACGGCAGGAAGCCCTCCAGTCAGCATGTGAGGACCCCTCGAGCTAGCATCACTCCCGACACCATCTTTATCACCCTCACCGGGCATCACAGAGGCAAGAGAGTGGTCTTCCTGAAGCAGTTAGCCAGCGGCTTGCTACTTGTGATGGGGCCTCTTAGCCTTAATCGTGTTCCTCTATGAAGAAAACACCAGAAATTTGTCATTGCCACCTCTACAATAATTGATGTCAGCGAAGTGAAAATCCCCAAACACACCTCACTGATGCCTACTTCAAGAAGCAGCAGCTGCAGAAGGAAACCCAGACACCAGGAGGGCTAGATGTTGAACACCAAAAAAGGGAGATACCAGATTTCAGAGCAGAGCAAGGGGGATCAGAAAACGGTGGACTCACAGGCTTTACCAAAAACCAAAGCTATTCCTCAGCTCTGGGGCTACCTGGGATCCGTTTTTGCTCTGACAAATTAAATTTATCCACATAAATTAGTGTTCTAAATTTCTAAGAACCTAATTAAATAACTGAAACATTTGAAGAAAAAAAAAAAAGGAAATCCCTTTGTAGCTATGCATGGGCTTATAGCTGCAGAAAATGTAGCAAATGAAACAAAAGAACACCAAAACTACAGGCATAGTTGTGTTCTTGTCTATGAAAGATCAGCAGACCTTGCTAGGTAAAGTGCAACAGTTGGTTTCTGTTTTGCTATTTCTAATCCTTTTTCTTCAGTCTTTTGAAATCCATTCCCTGAGTGCTAATGGGGGCTTTTCAAATCTAAGATGTTGCAGGGTTGAGTCAGAGACCTATAGAGGAGGAGGTTAAGGTGACCTGCCAATTCAAAGAGAGGTGCGAGAACTAAGGCAGGTCTTGCCCTGCTGACCGGGATCAAGTTTTAATATCCAGGGCCCAAATCCCATAGGTGAGTCACCCACTTTGTGCCTAAGGCATGAGATGACGTGTTTTTTGTGGTTTACATTTGCATTTCATTAATGCAGTATGTTCATTCCTCTGGGTGTTCATTTACTGTCTTCTTTGGGGAAGAGCCTGTTCACATCTGTTGCCCATCTTTTTGTTGGATTTTCTTCTCAATAAGTTTTGAGAATTCTTTGTAATTCCAGATATAGGTCCTTTCTCAGATGGGTGGTTTGGAGATAATTTTCTAGTGTGTGACCTTTTGCTGTCACTCAAAAGAACTAAAGTTTTATGTTCTGATTTTTATTATTTTTCATAGATGTTCTTTAACAGGTTAAGTTCCTGAGTTTGTGAGAGCTTTTAGGATTAGGAAATGCTGTTGGATTTTGTCAGATACTTTCTCTGTTTGTTGAGATTACGTGGTGGTTTTTGTTTTTGTTTTTGTTTTTGTTTCCGTAGGATGAATTACATTGATTTATGTAATACTGTTAATTTAGTGGGATTTCAGACATGCACAAAAGCAGCTGAATGACAACGTACCCATCACTCTTGTCAGTTTAACTGCTCCTCTCTTCTATTATGTAAACTTGGCGGAGAAAAAAGAGATACTCTGAAAGGTCCTATGCTAAAGTGACCACTCTAAACTGTTACAAAGATCTGAGCTGATACTCAAAGCTAGACTAGCACAGATAATTTAATAACTCATTGAGGATTGATGGTAATTTGACCTGGATTAGTTCAGGTCCATTGGGCTACCTATAGGCAACAGGACTAGTGACCAAAGTAATTGGAATAATAAGAGTGTAAGGAACATGTCTTCTCACTGGAGAACACAGTACGTTTATGATATATAGGAGGTCCATACCCTGCAAGTGCTTTGATAGGTCCCTTCTTTATGGGACAATGCATAGAGTGTGTTCGTAGTGACTTGGCATACCACTGCCCTTTCTTTTTCTTCTTTTCTTTGCAGTATCAGAGATTGAACTTGGGACCTGTGCTTGCCAGGCAGGCGCTTAAGCCGCTGAGCTACTTCCCTAGCCCCAACCCTGCATTGCTGCTCACTTGTATGTGATCATCCCTCAGTTGCCAAGGGTCCACCGCAGACTGAAATCTGGGGATGCGCAAGTGACAGTGGTTGTATAGTATATTTGCATATAACAAACAATTCTCCTATATACTTTGACTCATCTCTAGATTACTTATAATACCTAATACGGTATAAATGCTATGTAAGTAGTTGCATTGTTTAAGAAATAATAAGTTAAAGAGAATTATGTATTCATTACAGAAGAAAGTTTGTTTCATTTATTTTTTAATACTTGGGTCTAAACTTGGTTTACTCTGGATTATAGATCCATGGATGTGGAGGGTCAGCCATATTCTAGATTATTCTTGCCTTAAATTCATTTGATTTTGAATATAGTGTAGGATAGTTTTATATTTATCCATAAAAATCAGTTTCAAGGATTTAGTCAGTGTTAGTATTTACGTTTGAAAGAAGGCTTTCTGATAAACATCATTTATATTATTGCAAAGTACACATTGAAACCTGACTCACCTTTGGCATGAGGTTATAAGGACTAAATTGTGTGGTCTTCCAGTTTGTCTTTTACTATAAATGGTCTTTTTCCAGCCAGTGACTTGTGTTCCTGCTACATCGGTACACCAGGAGTTAGAAAGTTCTGTAACAAGCCAGATAATAAATATTTTTTATGGACCACATGGTTTCTGTGACTTAGATCTGCCACAATAGAGTGAAAGCAGCCACAGACTATAAATGCATAACCACAGATATCTTCTAATAAGTCCTAATTTACAAAGGACCTGTCACGTTTTTGTTCTTATCCAAAGCAGTGTCCCCACCCAGTAGACCTTCAGTTTATATTTGTCAAGATAAATCTTGATATGTATTTTGAGTCAGGATCTCACTATGTAGAGCAGGCTGGCCTCAAACCCATGGTGATCCTCCTGCTTCATTCAGCCTCCAGAGTGCTGGGACTACAAGCGTGTACCACCATGTCCAGCTTGTCAAGATAAGTCATTTTTTTTTCTTTCAGCCAAGCTAAATAAAGCCTTCAATTAATCTTATTTGGAGACATAGGACAAAATAATTTCTTTTTGAATTAAACTTGTTACCTAGAGACAGAAACTAGAAAAGAACATTTAGCAGGTTATAGTTTGGCAGTAAACTCAAGGGAAAACTTGAAGATGAGGACAGACTATCAGCCCTTTTCCAACTCGGGAGATTTTTAGAGGTTATGTGGGGTGTAAAAGGGTATTGTGATCAGCTTGGTGCAAGTTAAGATTATACAGATGAATCAGTTCTCTTTGGTGTACTCCTCCAGAGCATTAATATCCTAAGGACTGGTGAGCATTCTAGGGAGGCATAAAAGGGAGGGGACCCTTGAGTCTTCGGGTACCTCTGGGCTCTTCCATTCACAGGTAGGAGTGTCTCTCCTTTATGAGGAGCACTGAACTTGGGCTTTTTAGGGAATTTATGTGTATTGGGGAGTAGGGCAGAGGGATAGAGGAGAGACAGCTGAAAATGAAAAAAAAAGAGAAGAGGGAAAAAAAACCCAAACTCTGCAATTGCTGGTAGAGTGAAGCAGGGGCTCCCGGGACTGCAGGGAAAGCAAAAAAGAAGTCTTAATTAGAAAAAATACGAAGTACTTTCTGGGTGGTATTTGTAATAGGCAATAAATGAGGTTAGAGAGGACAAAAATGGGATAAACAGTATTAAATGAGACTGGAAAGCTGTAGGGTGTGTTGCACAAAGTCAGTGCCAGCATGGGCTGAGTACCAGTGAGGGGACCAGCCATGGCGAGTTGTGGCAGCACTGGAATTCCTGCCTAAAAAAGCTGGACCTTCTTGAAGGCTGCTGGGTTTCCCCAGGTGTGGGTGTGGAGGACAGGCTTTAGAGATGTGAAATACTGCTGATGGGCCTGCAGGGTTAGAATGAGGAAAGACTTGGAGGAGGCAGATGGAGATGCAGGATGGGGCTCCTCAGGCCTTCTTAGGGCATACTTGGAGGAGGGATGCAGGACGGGGCTCCTCAGGCCTTCTTAGTGCATACTTGGAGAAGGGATGCAGGACGAGGCTCCTCAGGCCTTCCTACTGCATACTTGCACAGTAATTGGGAAAATCCCATCACACATATTTTGAAGTTGGTACCCAGAATTTTCTCTGACATATTTTGGATAACATAATTTCTGGTATATTATATATATCAATATTTTGAGAACAAAAATTGTGTCACTTTAAGATGAAATATAGGTACCAAAGCCATCATCCATATTTCCATCCGTGGCTTAAAACCCATGAATTATCTCATTAAATTGGGAATGTTTTATTTTTCTTCTTGGTCTCTCCACCGCCCACACAAAATTGTATTCTAATGCATTTTTATGCGTTTTGATTGCCCTCTTTATTTGTACCTGTACATGAGAAGAAATGTAAAGTTTGTGTCTCTGTGGCTGGCTGGACCTGGTGGTGCAGCGCACACCTGTAGCCTGGCCGAGAAAGGAGGATGGCAGGTCCAGTGTCAGGCCCTGGCTCAAAATCCAAAAGAAACAAACACAAGTGAAACTTCCTTAAAAACTTAAAAAACGTCATTTACTATATTTCCATCATTATTAATACTCAATTGATGATTCAGATGTATTACAAATTATACTCAGCAATAAAATTTATGGAAAAGTCAGCTAACGAATGAGGTTTTTAAAGTTTAGTCGTGGATATATACAATTTATGGTTTAGAATGAGACATACGGCATGAATTTTATTTTACATCTTAAGAATTATGAATTC